ACACACACACACACACACACACACACACACACACACACACACACACACACATACATACACACATACACACACACACTCAAGCTGACACATGTACACAGACTCACAAACTCACAAGTGCATGCTTATCAGTCTTGCATTACATCCGGGTATTTTTCACGAGTTAATTGAAAAATAAAGATAAATACAATGTATACATTTAATTAAACTCCATAAATAAATATTTATCACAATGTAATTTCCCTCTGTGGTAGCCCCCCAAAATGGTTTAACATAATTATAATATAATATAATTTGAGATTGTTTCCAATGTAAAGACGACGTTTTGGGATTATTGCACTTTGTCGCTGTGGGAGATCTTGAAGAAAAAAAGGTTCAGAGGTTTAGGAGATTGGTCGTCAGTTTCTTCTTAGTTCCTGACAGGGCACAGGTGGGTGACGAGGTTAGCGGACACGTCCTTGACACTGCGACCTGTAAGAGTAATGGCGCCCTCTACACTGACGCCAGAGTCGCTGGGGTCTGCGATGAAGACTTGCACTCCCTTCTCCCGCAGACGACTCACCTCCTCTTCCAGACCCTTACTCTTCTTCCCGCCATTGGCCACGAGAACAGCGACGTCACGAGCCTCGCTACGGCCTCCGGCGATCTCGGAGTAGCCGAACTGGGACAGTCTGTCCACCAGGGCAGGCATGCGTGGCATCAGGTAGTTGGTCAGCCTGTTCTCGATATCATCAGCGGTTGTGTAGTCGTCCAAGTCGAACCCTTCGTCGTCGGGGCAGGAACCGGAAACGACACCGAACCGAAAGCCGTGCTCCATCTGGTCCTGGTTGACGACGTTGGAGACGAAGGAAGTGGTCCAGGAGGTGACCTCAAGGCCAAGCTCGGCGGGGCTGAAGACGAAGTAGATGTCGGCGGGGTGTTCCTCGCCACACTTCTCTGTCTGAGGCACAGGGGTGGTCGTGGTGGTCTTCTCTTTCTTGATGCAGGTCTTGTGGGCCAGGCTCGTCTTTATCTCTTTCAGCTGATCGTAGTTGTCGACCTTGACCTTCCTGCTCTCGTCGCCGGCGATTGTGAGCAGCTCTTCATCGCGGACGTTTCCCACACCCACGGCGAACATGATGATACCGCTGTCCTGAGCTGCCTGGGCAGCGTCTCTGGTTTCGCGCCAAATCTGAGAGTTGCCGTCTGTAATGACGATGCTGATGCGGTCAGCCCAGGGTCTGGACACATTCATAGACAACTGTGTCTCGCTCATGTACTTGATACCTGCTCCCGTGGACGTGTAGAGACCAACCTTGTGCGGGACTTTTCCAATAGCTTGGATGACTTCATCTTTGCTGTGGTACGTGTCCAGGTTGAAAGAGTCTTGTTTGTAGATACCTTTGCCGAATGTGATGACGGACACTCTGACGTCATTGGGGCCATCTCCGATCACGTACTGGTTCAAAAAATCCTGGAGGAACTCGATGCCCTTATGGAAATCTGGATGACTGATGGAGCTGGAGGAGTCGAGCACGATGCCCAACTCGATCGGCTCTTGTTTACATTCGAGGAGGTGGTCCCCCAGGTCCACCACAGTCTCACGTTTGACGACCCGTGCGTGGACTGCAACAAGGACGAACAGTAGGCTGCAGATTAGTTTGAGCATTTTAGTCTGGATCACGTTCTTGTCTTTTCTTCTGTAGTTTCACTAAAATTCAATGCGCGTTCACAAAGCGAGATGGAATTTCAATTAAAGTTCGATGCACATTCACAAATTGCGTCTCAGTGGAAGGTTTGTGATTGAATTTTGACAAAGTTTGGTTTGTTTCAATTCGTTACGTCTCAACAGCAGATGACGGTGGTTGTGGCTTGTGTACAGAGCAAGTGACAACTGTTTGTATTGCTGTCGGTTTGATGCTTGTGACTGTGAACGTCCACGCTTTTATAGTCCGCGGCCGACGACGTTTCCGCGTTAAGGGGATCGTCAATGCACACCCACTTGACTACCGTAGGAGACAAACTTTACGCGCAACACTACGCGAACGTGGAAAATTGCAAGGATATGCACTAAGCGTAGGTGACACCATTGCCCAAATATGGGAGATAGGAGCGCTAAGCCCATTGAGTCCAGAAGTGGTTTGCTTATAATTTAAGAATAAGGTTGCACTTTCCTCTGGTGCATCTCGTGTATACAACTATAGAGCTGCACTTCCTTGACCAAGTGGCTCTTGACAGAAATAGCCGTAGGTGTGTGTGAGAACGCAATTCTTGTCTGTGTGGCTAAAACTTTCCCTGAGAGAGGGAAGTTGGGGTTTTGTGGGGGGGGGTTTATATTTCATTGAGCGGTCATTCTGTGTTGGAGTTGTAAAGATGTGGCGCAGTAATTATGAGGCGAGAGGGCACAATGACGCTCACACAATTCGAGGTGGAACAGGTGGGGACAAATATAGCCCGAGGAAGAGGAGGAGCCGGGGTTTGGGTACATCAGAGCGCTCCCACAAACCACCTGCATCTTATGGTGTAGTGACATTTTAGGATTGGTAAAGAACAGCATGCTGATGTATGTGGTGTAATAATTACGCTATGCGCCGTGGCACGCAGAAGGCTGGAGTTCAAGTCCTGTGTGGGGAGGATCTTTGTAAAGCATCTCTGTTTTTCTACTGGTGACATTGTGTCCCTGTCAGCCTGGTTTGGCCCTGACAAGTGGGGTTGAAGCCTGCTTTCTAAATGATCTAAATTGTATCGTTGGGGACGTGAACCAGAAACATAACGTAGGAATGTGTGTGTGTGTGTGTGTACGTGTGCGTCTGTCGGCGTCTTTGTCTGTGGGTGTATGTATGTCGTGAGTGTACGACTGTTTGTTTGTGTGTATGTGTATGTATGTGTGTATGTGTGTGTGTGTGTGTGTGTGTG